CACTTCTTTCCCTCTTCTCTCCCCTCAATGTTTCATACGCCCGTCTAATCAAGCTCTCCAATTTTTTATTTAACATTACTGTCAAGCTAAACATTTTGTAAACTATTGATATAATAAACTCTTCTCTTCTAGTTCAAGAAATAAAATTAAGCAAAGAAAAATTTAAATAGTTTCGATTATTACAACAATTATATATTATTTTCATGATACGAAAAAGAACTTTTTCAGCTTCGATATTGCAGCTTTACATACTATAGCATATATGATAATAATAATTAAATAAAGGATTATATCTAATTTTTACTCGTTCGTCTGTCTCGCTCAAATTCTTCAGTTTATTCGATATTCTTTTATTCTCGTTATTCCGTTATCAAGGTTGGCTTTATAATGTATGTACATATCATACTGTAATTTAAATATTAAAGACATGGAGGGAATATTTAATGAATTCCGTATGGCAATCTCTTTTTAAACTTTCTTTAAAATTCCGGTTCTCATTCGCTCGAATCTCGTATACCTCGAGCGATGGCACTTCGTGTGCTCGAAATTCCCAACAGCGAGGGAATTTCCGTGCAATCGCAACGCTGGACAATCACTAAAGACGGAAAGTCATATAAAAAGAATTCTTCGCTTGAAAACGTCTGCGCAGTTAGCTTTATTAAGATTATCATGTTCTGTACTCGGGCGCTATTTTAATTATTATTATACGACATAGCTAGAGGATAACTATAGGCAAGCGGAAACCACCGTGGGAAGGAGGCTGCAAAAAGAGCGGACCAGACGAAGGAAAAAAAGAAACAAGAGAGAGAGAGGGAGAGAGAGAGAGAGAGAGAGAGAGAGAGAGAGAGAGAGAGAGAACTCGCGGACTGTTTTACACGGCTAATATCTTCCTATAATATCTCCCTGCGCGTTCCCGTTCCCTCCATCGACTTCGATTCCCGCCAGGATAATACGAACTTATCGGAAGCAATACCGCAGCTATCGGAAGTACTACCGCGGTCATCGGAAGTAAATCGGGGAGCAGAGAGAGAGAGGGAGGGAGAG